AAAAAAAAATTAAAAAAAAAAAAATAAAAAAAAATTTTGTTTTTGTTCCAAGGATCAAACCAATGGTCTTTGCACATGCTCACATGCTAGGGAGGCCCTCTGTATCCTTAACACTGTTTTCACTTTTTCTTTTTTCAATCAATTTTTCTTAAGGATGCTTCAGACATAAAACTTTCATTTCAGAAATGGATTTTTGGGGGCTGGAGAGATGGACCCTCAGTTAAGAGTACTTGTTGCTCTTTGTAGAGGATCTAGGTTTAGTCCTCAGCACCCACACGGTGGTTCACAAACATCCACAGCTCCAGTTTCGGGGGGGTCCGATGCCTTTGTCGGAAATCCACAAGCACCAGACACGTGTGTGGAACACACGTGTACGTGGAAGCAAATCACTGACCCACTTGAAAGAAATAAAGATTGTAAAAATTTAAAAAAAGAAAACAAATGGTCAGCATAGTGTCACGCGCCTTTAATCCCAGCACTCGGGAGGCAGAGGCAGGTGGATCTCTGTGAGTTCAAGGCCAGCCTGGTCTACAGAGTGAGTTCCAGGACTACACAGAGAAACCCTGTCTCACTCACTATCCTACTTCCTAAAAGAAATGTATTTTTTTTTTTAGCAAAAGCAAGAAAAGGCAGGAATTAACTGTCGAGGACCTCATCGCCATGCCTCTGAGGATAAAACTGCTCTTGACCAAATGTAACACTGCTTGGGAGGGACTCGGTGCGTACTTGGCCTTTATACAGGAGCCGGAACAACTCTCCAGTGTAAAAGAGAAGGCTGAATTACCTCACACTCTTGCTGAACCATCCTCCTCCCCGCCCTGCCAAAGACCCATTTCCTTCAGAATAAAATACAGTCTTTCAATGGCCCTGCCTGATTTGGGTCTTTAGTACTCAGAGTACCTGTGCTCAGTACCTGATAGTCTACTTATAGTACTAACAGTAAACAGTACTTACAGTTCCTGTGCTTAGTACCTGACAGTTTTATAGTACTAACCATAAGCAGTACTTTAGTGCCTGTGCTTAGTACCTGACGGTCTTATAGTACTAACCATGAACAGTTCTTTAGTACCTGTGCTTAGTACCTGACAGTCTACATACAGCTTTTTTTGATCTGTTGTCTTCCAGGGTAGAATGAAAACTTCCTGGGGGTATTTCCAGCATCACAGGAACCATCCTGGCACTTTGTAGGTATTTGATGCCTTTTTGGTAAGGGACTAATTAATTACAAAACTCCCCTTGGCACCTGAGTGATGGTGAGATTGTAAGCGCCCTCTCTCTGCACAGAGCCCTTGTAGACAGCCTGTGCTGAGTCCACAGCATCAAAGGGAGAGGCAAGAACTTGGCATAGATGTCATAAAAGCTGCACTATTAACTAACCAGCGCATGCATCTCTGAACACCTCAAACCCGGACAAACGTTACCTTAAAAGTATTCTGGCCCATTTCTATCCACATGTAAAGTTGGTGGGAAATGACATGGGGGGATGATTAAATTTTCCAACCAATACTACGTCACAGAGTTGAGAGCGTCGTCGCAGAAGTAATGAGTTTTGCTTTTGAAGGACAGAAATCAGCACATCCTTCGTATTTTTGAAACACTTAATAAACACAAGGCCCCAGAGCTGGCGCCATCATGGGCTGGAAATGAGACACGGGCATTTCTGTGTGCTCTTCTTGCAGGCATCGAGAGGCATGGTCCAGTCGGTGCCCACTGAGAAATGCTCCTCTCTGCTGTCTGCCCACCCTTCCTGTTCCTGGACACTGGTGGCGGCTGTTTGCTCTCGGTTCCGGTCACGTGTTTACCCTTGATGTTCTTGACATTTACCCTGACTCCCTCTCCCTCCCCACCCCTCTCACCCTGTGAGTTGTCCGGCCCCAGCACAAGGGGAGGAAGATCTGTCAAGGTTTGGGGGAAACTTAGAGGCCCTTCTGCTTCCTGAACCCAGCCCAGGGAGGCTGAATGGTGGCTCTGTGCTGGGTGTGCATGACACCGGGGGTTGGCACAGTGATATCAGCAGGGAAGGGACATCATGACCCCTGAGGCTGCGTGCTGGGACGGAGACAGCAGAGTACCACAGACACAAAAGGGAACGGGAATTTAAACCATGAAATCTTTTTTTTTTTTTTTCCAGAGAGGAGACGCCTTAATCTGATACTCTGGGAAGGGGATCTAGCCTACATCAGGAAACAAAGAGTCGGCCAACCCAGATGCTGCAAAGTCCTGGCAGGTGGCCCTTGAGTCCCACCCAGAAGAAGCCTGTGTGTCACCACCAAGGAGAAGTCAGGCACAGTGGAAGCCCTCCATTTCCCAGAAGCCTCTTTTTGTTTTGTCCACACGAAGAGCAGGAGGTGCCTGGGGGTGGATTCATCATTGGTCTTTTTCTGCCCCCAATTGCTCCTGAACACACACTTCCAACAAGTACACTTGAGTCAGGAGCAAGCTGTCCCGAGCGAGACTAAGTAAGCTTCACTTCCTGTTAGGGTCGATGCCCAGTGCCTCAGGATTCTTTCCCCTTAAAATAAGTGATTTGATTGTATTTTAGTTACTGACATTCTGCTCATTACAGAGAAGTTCCATTCATACTTTAGAAGACAATTCCGTACCCACCTATGTTTTTACCACAGACAGCCAGAAATGTGAACTTGATAATATCTTTCCCCTGAACTCTTGTATAGACTGCCAACAATTCTGTACAACTGGTGAGTATTCTTCCAAGTCAAGAAATATGCCCCTACATCAGCGGTTCTGAAAGTGGAGTCCTTGGACCTACAGCGGCACCCTTGGTGGATGGTTTAGAAAAGCAAAATTCTTGAGCCCTATCTCAGGTCAACTAAATCAGAAACTCTACAAGCTTGGCTGAGCAATCTGAGTTTCAGTGGGCCCTCTAGGTAATTCTGATGCAGGAGAGAGAGTAAGAAACATTGCCACACAGTTAAAAAAAAACAAAAACAAAAAACTTGCCTAGAATGCCATTGTATGGATGACATAATTTATTCAGCCAGGCAGCTATTGTTAGGCAATGGAACTGTTTCCTTCTCCATGTAATCAAACACAATGAACAAACAGCACTGTGAGTGAAATGTCAACTCACATGACATTTTCCTAACTTCCAAAAGTAAGATCAATGGGGCAAAGAAAATGCATA